TCGCAGCGCCAGGCGTAAACGAGGATGAACGAGAGGAACGATGTGGAGCGATAATGCGATGCTGTCCATTGCTTTGCACTGTGCGACAGGGCAACTTTGGCCACGGGCGAGCCTGTGAGGTGGCCGCGCGAAGGGTCCCGAACATCATTCCTTTGCATGTCCGTCTTCCAGAAGGCGTCTTTCTACGAAATGCACCAAACTGACCCGAATCCCGGGTTTCCATCAACATTCCTCAGAAATCTGTGGCGAACCCGGGTTTCGGTCTAGTTGCAAGACCATGCCGGTATTGCTTGACATGGCTTTGCTTCGTATTCTGCGGCGTTGCTGGGCAGTGCGTTGCTTTGTTCGACATGCACTCGCGTGGCTTACCATTTTTTTGCATTGCGCGCCCGGACAGCCTGGGACACGAGCGGGCTAGTGTGTGGGCCACACGAGGGCTCTCCACGTCATTCACGCGAACATGTTCTTCAATTGTGTACGTATTCATGCATCCGTGGCGGTTGGCTAGAGTACTTTATTCAAGCTCCCGCATGCGCCACATCCTTCATGTCTGTAATCGCTTGCTCGGATTGTAGCGAAACCCTGCCTTTTCGGAGCCTCCAGGTGGCGTTTCTGTCGCCACGTCATCGGGCCCGCCTCGAAATTCTTCCAAACGCACCCCAAGAAACATTCGGGTGGCGCACGAACATGTAAATCGAGGGCGAGGGCAAATAAGAAACGGGTAAAGAGGTTGTGAAAAGGAAGCGGCCAAATTTCAAAGGCCAAAGAGGATGACGCCAAGTGCCAACATCGGCGAAACTTGAAGGACCAAGGTGCATGGCGCGAAGCGCCAACGCAGTCGAATGCAGCCTTGTGTATATACATATATGTATACACATGTTTATGTATATGTGTGTGTGTGTACATGCCGTTCGACGGTCCCTGTCCGCTGCCTCGCTGCCAAGGCGCCGCACCTGGCCACTGCCCCGTGAGGCGTCGGCCGTCTCGCCTTTTCCTTACCTCACTTTGACTTCTGGGCGCGCGCGTTGTCCTCCGCTCGGCGCGTCTGACAACGTGCCGAGTCGCCCGTCCGCGACGACCGAGAAATGGTGTGTGTGTGTGTGTGTGTGCGAGCGTTCGAGTGTGTGTGTGTGTGTGTGTGTGAACGCGTGTGCTTTGGTGAGTGCGTGAGTGCGTGTGTCTGTGTGTGTGTGTGAATTTACTTGTGTGCTTGTGCTGTTGTTTGTCAATCGTCGGTTCGGGTTGCACATCTGTTTTCGTTCGTCGCGCGTTTTGTGTTGTTGTTCACCCTCGGACGGCCCTCTTTTGACGCCGGGGGGGGGGGGGATGCCACTTTACCTCTGAACGGGGCCCTTCCCGTCCCCTGTGCTTCACAGCGGCCCGTCCGAATCCGCTCGGCTGCACCCTGGCGGCAAACTGCCCCAAACAACATGCTGCATGTGCATACCAACTCAAACGTTCTACTGTGCTGCACGTGCGGGAGGGCACGCGATGGACCACGCGGGAAAACCGACGGGAAAGCAGACGTGAACACATACGGGAGAACGAGTGGGAGAACCTGCAGGGGGAACAGAAAAGAACCGAACATACGAGAGAACACACGGGAGACTAGACGGGAGAACGTGCGGCAACACGTGCGAAAGAACCTACGGGAACATGAGACGAAAGACCACACGGGAGAGCATACGGGGAACATGCGGGAGAACTCACGGGAGAACAACAAGGGGAACATACGGTAGAACATACGGGGGACATGCGAGAACCCATACGGGGAAACATGCGGGATATCACACTGGAGAATATACGGGAACACAAACGGGATAACACAAGGGATACCGTACGGCAACATATACGGGGTATCACCCCATATACCATACGGTGGGACATACGGGGTAACATAGAGGAAGGCACACGGGAGAACATGCGGGGGAACATACGGGTGACTATACGGGACAACATGCGAGAACGTACCTATACGACCACCCTGCGGGTGATAAGGAGGTTTGGGGGGGGGGGGCCAGCAATGGGCAACAGTGGTGAATGTTGTGACATGACACTATCGATCTCACAATCGATATCACTATCGACGTCGTCATCATCATCATCGACATCACCATTAACATCATCATCATCGTCATCATCATCATCAGCATCATCATCATCATCATCAACGTCGTCATCATCATCACAATCATCATCACCATCATGGCCATCATCACCATCAGCATCGCACAATCGATCTCACATTCGGTCTCACTATCGATATCACAATCGATCTCACAATCGACATCATCATCATCATGATCATCATCATCAACGACACCAACATCATCATCATCATCGCCATCATCATCATCATCATCATCATGATCATGATCATCATCATCATCATCATCATCATCTTCATCATCATCATCATCATCATCATCATCATTACCATCATCATCATCATCATCATCATCATCATCATCATCATCATCATCATAATATCCACGTCATCATCGGGACACCGACGGGACACCGAAGGGACACCAGCGGGACACCGGCGGGACACCGCGCGGCACCGGCCGCCCGGTCAAGGTTCTTTTGCCCGGCCGCGCCTCAGCCACACGGGACACCAGCGGGACACCGGCGGGACACCGCGGGGCACCGGCCGCCCGGTCAAGGTTCTTTTGCTCCGGCCGCGCCTCAGCCACAGGAGACTTTCTCTCGCCCGCCCACGCAGCTTCGCCTCGCCCGCACGGCACGCACGAACACGAAACCGAAATCGATTTCCCGGTAGGGGGGCTCTCCGTTCCACTTCGATCTCACCCCCCAACCTCCGATACGGGATAACATATGGGAACACATCCGGAATCACACACACACACACGGGAAACTATACAATGAACCGTACGGGAGAACATACGGGACACCACGAGCGACCGATTCTGGACCCATGGAACCTTACACGCAGCTTTAAAATGCTTATCCAGACGAAAGACCCAACCACGAGCAGCTGCGAGCATCGCGGGGCAAGTGAGACGAAACAAGGTGGCCAGCAAACGTATGCAGGGTGTGCCGAAATCGGTGCGGTGCCGCCATGCGAACGCAACCACCGGGGCCTTCGGCGGAGCTCCATATGAGGGCCACGAAGCATGTGAGAGGTGTGCCGAAATTGGTGGGGTGCCGCCATGCGGACACTGCCATTGCGGCCTTCGGTGGAGCTTCCTTTGGGGCCACGACACGAATGAGGGGTCTGTCGAAATGGGGGCGGTGCCGCCATGCGAACGCAGCCGCTGGGGCCTTTGGCGGAGCCCCCTGTGAGGCCACGAAGAGTGTAATGGTGGCGGTGCCGCCATGCGGGCGCAGCCACTGGGGGCCTCCGGCGGAGCTCCCATGAGCTCCCTTATGGGGCCCCGCAGCGAGCGAGGCGTGTACCGGTATGGATGCGGTGCCGCTTCGGCTATACGCAAGAGTGACCCTGGGTAAGAGTGACCGGGTGCGCCACTTTTTGGGGGCCGCTGGGGGACCAAACCTGGGCGCGCAAGCAGCTGCTGCTGCTTCGTTTTCAGCCATATGGGGACCCATCTGTGCCCGTACCACAAGTCACTCCGGCGAAAGGTCACTCTTACGTCCAGTCGACCGCTATGCGAACGCAACCACTGTGGCCTTCGGTGTAGCTCCCTATGGGGCCCCGAAGCGTGTGAGAGGTGTGCCGACATGGGAGCGGTGCCGCCGTGCGAACGCAGCCACTGTGGCCTTCGGCGGAGCTCCCTATGGGGCCGCGAAACGCGTGAGAGGTGCGCCGGCACAGGGGCGGTGCTGCCACGCGGACCCTGCCACAGAGGCCTCCAGCGGAGCTCCCTATGGGTCCACGAAGCGTGTGACAGGTGTGCCGACATGGGGGTTGTGTTGCCATGCGAACGCGACCACTGGGGCCTTCGGTGGAGCTCCCTATGGGGCCACGAAGCGCGTGAGGTGTTTGTGTGTGTGTGTGTGCATGTGTGTGTGTGTGTGTGTGCCGCCGTACGGACGCTGCCGCTGGGGCCCTTCGGCGGAGCTCCCTATAGTGTCACGAAGGATGTGAGGGGTGTGCCGATGACAACGGCGATGAGGCTGATGAATCAAGGGTGAAGGATGATGAGGATGATGATGATGATAATGATGACGATGGCGATGAAAATGATGAAGATGATGCTGCTGATGATGATGCTGCTGCTGATGATGATCGTGCTGATGATACTGATGATCATGCTGCTGATGCTGATGCTGATGGTGATGGCAACGATGATGCTGCTGATGATGCCGATGACGTTGGCGGTCACGATGATGATGGTGTTGACACTGGCGGACGGTGTTGACGCGTACGACGATGATTGCGATGCTGCTTCTGATGATGATGCTAATGATGATGCTGCTGCTGAGGATGATCATCATGACGACGATGACGATGACGATTATAATGATGCTGATGATGATGCTGATTCCGATGATGACGACGATGTTGATGATGATGGCGACTGTGAGGACCTGCGGAGTGTAGATACAGGGATGAAATGAGGGAGCATGAAGAGGAGGGGGAGGGCATCGGAAGGGAAGGAAGGAGATGCGGGGCGATGTGTATTCAAAACGAGGACCCAAGACCACTGGACGTCTGGAAAGAATAGAAGACCATTAAAGACGAGCTGCTTAAGGGAAATCAATCACTGGACTTCTACCGAGGTTCATCTTGGCCAATTTTTCGAGCCGCGTCCAACCGTGGAGGACCTCCAGACACGCCCACCACCTTCCGAGGCGAAGGCGTCAACGATGACGCCGTCCACACTGCACGCGACCTGGCACCTGCTTCAAGAAATCATAGCGATCCAGGTGTCTTTGGCAAGGCCTCGACTCATCTTCTGCGCGCCGCCTGTTTGAGAGCAGGTCTGCCAACGCGAATGCGCGCATGTTTCCGGAAGACGGTGATGAAGCGGACCGGGACCCAGAGCCCTGGGGGAGACGGACAAGACGCAATCTGCAAGATAATCTCAAGACCACACGGCACGCGTCCACGAGCTCCCGCATGGCCTGGGAAGACTCGCTGCTCCCGCTGCTGCTGCTCCTGCGCCTGCTGTTCGCCCCGCTGCTCCTGCTCCTCCCGCATCCTCCGCTGCGCCATGCGCTGGGCGGCGCGCGTTTGACGACCCTGCAGGCTCCGGCAGGCACGTTCGCATCCGCTGCTGCTACAACTACTCCAAGCACCTGGCGTCACGCTTCGCGCCGCGCGCAGCGCGAAGCGCGATTGGCATTCTGCTCTCGCGCCGCCCCCCCCGGGACGTCACTGGGGACAAGCGCCTTTCCAGCCCAGACCGCCAAGCGTGGTTGTCCCGGCGCCCCTGAGGGTGACCCAGCGTTCATTCTCGTACGTCTGTGTTCTGGCTGGCAGAGCGGCGCGCACGCCCTTCGGATGTGGCGGCTGTGCGCGTTAGAATCAACTCCCAGCCGCCAATCTGGCAGCAAGCGGTGGGAGGCGGTCAACTCTGCCGATCCGCGAACCACGCGCACTTTCCTCAGGGACCATGGGCTGGCAGGCCGCGCGCAGCACAGCAGCAGGACGGAAGCGCATTCAAACATTAGCCTGGCGAAGGACCCAACCATCTGCAAGTGTGAGTAACGCAATTGTGAACATCGTCTTCGGTGGAGCCCCCTATGGGGCCACGAAGCGTGTGAAGGGTGTGCTGTGATCGGTGCGGGGGACGCAAACGAGAACCGCCACTTGGGCTTGCGGTGCTGCCCCCATGAGGCCACGAAGCGTGTGATGGGGTGTGCCGACATGTGTGCGGGGGGCGCATGCGGGAATCGCGGCTGGGGCCGTCGGTGGAGCTCCCTCTGGGGGCACGAAATGTATGAGGGGTGTGCCGAAATGGGTGCAGGGGACGCAAGCGAGAACCGCCACTGGGGCTTGCGGTCAACCCCCTTATGGGGCCATGAAACGTGCGAGGGATGCGCCGAAATGGACGCGGGGGACGCATGCGAGAACCGCCACGGGGCTTTCGGTGGAACTCACCATGGGGCCATGAAACGTGTGATGGGGTGTGTCGTAACTGGTGCGGGGGGCGCATGCGAGAACCACTACTGGGCCCTTCGGTGGAGCTCCCTATGGGGCCACGACGCGTGTGAAGGGTGTGCCGACGTGGCTGCGGGGGACGCATGCGAGAACCGCCACTGGGGCTTGCGGTGAATGGGACCACGAAGCGTGTGAGGGGTGTGCCGACATGTGTGCGGGGGACGCATGGGAGAACCGCCAGTGGAGCCTTCGGTGGAGCTCCCTATGGGGCCACGAGCGTGAGGGGTGCGCCGACATGAGCGCGGTGTCGCCATGCGGAGCCTCCCACGAGCCGTGTAAGGGGTGTGCCGTATTGGGTGAGGGTGTACCATGCGGACGCTGATGCTGGGCCCTTTGGTGGAGCTCCCTACGGGGCCACGAAGCGCGTGAAGGGTGTGCCGAATCGGGTGCGGGTGCGCCATGCGGACGCTGACGCTGGGGCCTTCGGTGGAGCTCCCTACGGGGCCACGAAGCGTGTGGGGTGTGTGCCGAATCAGCATGCGGAGGGGGAGGGAGGGAGGAGGGAGGGGGGAGGAGGAGGAGGAGGAAGATAGGAGAAGGAGGAGGAGGAGGAGGAGGAGGAGGAGGAGGAGGAGGACGCGGGGCATTGTCTCCTCAAAACGAGGACCCAACACCATAGGATGGTTGGGAGCAGTCACGCGTAATCATGGAGCGCGAGGATGTAGGGCACCTGCCACGCGCTAAGATGCCAGAACATCTGTGAATTTGGAAAGCGAATCAGCATGCACAACGTGCCCAGAAATGGAAGATGCAAGGGTGCCGCGTTTCAGAGGCTCATCCTTAACGCAAGGTTTGTCAGCAAACGGAGCAACATGGTGGAACCAAATCCTGGACCCCAGGACTCTTTCCTGGGACAACCTTCTCAACCTGAATCGTTTGTTTGTTTCGCCCCCCGAAGGCCGGGAAGAGCCCCAGGAGCCCGAGGACGGAGAAGCACTCCCAGGACCCCTTTCTTCCAGTACCTGCCGGGACGCTTCCCCGCGCAGCCCGAAGGCACCCGCCTGTGCGCCTCCCGGGGGAGCCCGGGAGTGCCTGCCAGGACGCTCTCCCGGGCAGCCCGACGGTGCCCCCTGCCTTCGTGGCGAGACCTGCTGCGAAGCTGACGTGGCCGCGTGCACGGGCACCGCCGCCGCCCTCGCGCGGCCTACCGACGGGGCCGGCTCCTTCTCAGAGGTGCCCCAAAGACGGGTGCCCAACGCCCACGTGCCCGCTGCTCCGGTGCCGAGCGGCTCACTCTTCCTCTTCTTCTTCTTCTTCTTCCTCTTCTTCTTCTTCTTCTTGTGTCCTCCCCTCTCTCCTCCTCCTGGTGTGCTACCCTTTGCTCTGGGCCCCTGAGGATCGGGGAGGTTCTCGGACGTTTCTGGTCTGGCAAGCTCTGGGGGTCTCCCGAGGCCTCCAAGGGCCTCCAAGGACGTCCGAGGTCAGGATCCGGGGCGTCTGCAGAACTCACCCGCCCTCTCCCTTGCCCTCCTCCTTCGCGACCTCGTCTTCCTTGCCCTTTCCCGCGTCCTCGACCAGGTCCCCGTCCTCATCCCCGTCTGGGTCGTCTGTGTCGTCGTCGTCTGGGTCGTCTGGGTCGTCTGGGTCGTCTGGGTCGTCTGGGTCGTCTGGGTCGTCTGGGTCGTCGTCGTCGTCGTCGTCTGGGTCGTCGTCGTCGTCGTCGTCGTCGTCTGGGTCGTCGTCGTCGTCGTCGTCGTCGTCGTCGTCGTCGTCGTCGTTGGGTTTACTGTACCTCCGTTGCCATCATCCTCCGCCGCCACGGGTCTCCTCCACGCCCTCCTCCCTCGGCCTCTCTACTGCCTCATCGCCATCATCCTCGTCATCGTCCTCACTACTATGGTCGATGAATGGCCACGAGGATGCAGGCCAAGAAGACGAGTCCTTTCGCCGAAGGCCCAAGGTCCCCTCAGGAGATCTCCCCTAAACGGAACCCATTCCAAAGTGGAGAGGCCAAACAAGATGACTAGAAGGGCATCTCTTCACAAGCAGGATTGTTCTCAGCCCTCGTGCCAGCTGTATCACCATTCGACATCGTCATCGTCATTCTGATTACCTACCTCGCTAGCGTCATCGCAGTGTTTCTCGTCTCCGATGCCCTACTCACCCTGCCCTTCCACGTATGACTGTTTGCCTGAGTCCTGGGTGGAACAGTGCCTCTAATTCATGCTGCTTGCACCCTAGATTCCCGTGCAAGAAGCGGCAATTCAGAAGGAATCTGAAACTACCCCCTTAATCCCACCACTGCTCTGGGCGTACGCAGTTGAGCAGGTCAGATCTTCCAACATCGCCTGGCGAAGGACCCAATCATCTGCAGTTGCGAGTGCCGTCGTTGTGAGTATCGCCTCCGGTGGATCTCCTAATGGGGCTACGAAGTGTGTGAAGGGTGTGCCGAAATTGGGCGGGGCGGCCATGCGGGCGCTGCCACTGAGGCTTTACGTAGAGCCCCTTACGGGGCTACGAAGCGTATGAGGGGTGTGCCGACATGGGCGGGGCCGTCATGCGGGCGCTGTCACTGGGGCCTTCGGTGGAGCTCCCTATGGGACCACGAACCGTGGCATGCTGGCACTGGCACTGGGACCTTCGGTGGAGCTTCCTTCGGGGCCACGAAGCGTGTGAAGGGTCTGCCGAATTGGGTGCGAGTGCTCCATGCGGGCGCTGACGCTGGGGCCTTCGGTGGAGCTCTCAAGGGGGCTACGCACCGTGTGAGGGGTGCGCCGATATGGGTGGGGCGGCCGCATGTGGTACACCCCCCTGGGGGCCTTCGGTGGAGCTCCATATGGGGCCACGAAGCGTGTGATAGGTGTGCCGAGCGGGGCGGCCGTATGTGGTACATCCCCCTAGGGCCTTCGGTGGAGCTCCCTATGGTGACACGAAACGTGTGGGGTGTGTGCCGAACTGGTTGACATGCGGAGGGTGGAGAGCAGAGGCCAGGATGGGAGGAGGAAGGAGGAGGAGGAGGAGGAGGAGGAGAAGGAGGAGGAGAAGGAGGAGGAGGAGTAGGACGCGGGGCACTGTCTCTTCAAAAAAAAACCCCAACACCACAGGATGGTTGGGAACAAAGTCCTTCCCTTCTTCCACTTCGGGGAGGGGTTTAGCCCTCCCTCTCGCTCTCTGTGGGGCCTCGACGCACATCCATGCAATATCCTGCAAAGCGACGCTGAAAAGGATCCTTGCAGTAGCCTGCATGCCATACTCCTGCAATACCCAGCCGACCCTTGCTGAAACGACCCTGCAATACTCCGCAATGGCTGTGCGAATCCCTGCGTTGCACTGCAAGCTTCCGTTTCCCTTACCTTCCGATATTGCATCTCACTTCCCTGCTTGCGGTAGCTCGCCTAAGAACCTTTTCTGGCTGTGCTGGCAGAAGACTCGCGAGGCGCTAACAATAGCCAATGCTGACAACATATGTAGCATACCCTTGCCGATATGAGATCGTGCTGCCCAGAGCCCTCGGAATACTAGATTCGCAAAAGCTTTGTGTGAGGCTGGGGCGGGCTTTCCCCGCTGTTTCGACGAGACATGCAAGTTTCGAAGATCGCTGGGGAGGCGCCTGACACACCCCTGCCATCAAATCGAAGAAGAAAGGAAGCGCCCGACAAAAACAACACACACACATAAGGACAACAACAAGAGGGGAGGAGCCAACGACTGGTTGACCTGTATCCACTCGAAATTCAGGCGCCCTGTCCAGATCGCGCGCACGGTTATTCTCGTCTTACGTATGCGGGCACCGCGCCATCCACTTGATGTGATTCTCCAACTTTGGCTCAAATCACAGGTCGAACCAGCCACGCGCCTGTCTGCCCCGAAGGGGCTCCATACCCACCTCCCAGGTAGATGTGCCTAAGTGTAATCGGGACGAGCCTGCCGAACAGCATTCTCTCGCGCAAAGCCCGTACGCTCTGGGGCGCAGGAGTGCGGTCCCCGGGCCGACCCCTGCCGCGCCCGAGTGCCTCCTCGAGCGGGTGCCTCCACGTCGTCTCGCGGGTGGCCTGGCCGGTCTCGTGGGGGGGGGGGGGCACGCAGAGGAGGAGGAGGAGGAGGAGGAGGAGGAGGAGGAGGAGGAGGAGGAGGAGGAGGAGAGGAGGAGGATAGGGGGAGGAGGAAGAGGAAAAGGAGGAGGAGGAGGAGGAGGAGGAGGAAGAGGAGGAGGATCAGGAGGAGGATCAGGAGGAGGGAGGAGGAGGAGGAGGAGGAGGAGGAGGAGGAGGAGGAGGAGGAGGAGGAGGAGGAGGAGGAGGAGGAGGAGGAGGAGGAGGAGGAGCGCAGGGAGGCGGGACCGCGAGGCGCAGTCAGTCACGGCAGAGAGAGAGAGAGAGAGAGAGAGCGACCCGCCATGCCTGCGGGCCCGCCAGGCGTCGGCATCGGGCTCAGGATGTCCACTCGCCCCGCCCCTGTGCAGGAGCGGGGCGCCGGGCCTCGTGACTAATGGTTGAGTCGGGCGTGTCCCCCTACAGGGGGATTTTGGGCGACAAATTTTAAAAATACCCTCCACAATACCCCCCAAATGGCCAAAACAGCCAAAAAGTCGTCACCAGACTATTTTTTGACTATTTTTGAAGATTCCGCCTGTAGAGGGACAGGCCCGACTTAAGACTAACTGGGTGTGCAGGGTGAGGGGGGGTGGAGAAGGAGGATCAGGACGAGTACCAATGACAAACGGGCGATGAGGATCAGGAAGACACGATGCTGAAGAGACCCAGAAGCCGACATGGCCTGCCAAGAGGGCAAGGGGGGAATCACCACAGGCCGAGATGGTCAGCCAGACGCAAGCCAATGCAGGCGGGATCCCTGTGGACTCTGGTCAGTCTGGCGAAAGGTCATTCTTTCGCGCAGCCGAAAGAAATGTCCCTGGCCCAGGGTGTCCACAAGATCTCGAGGGAAATCCAGTGGACACTGGGAGCATCCCTGTCCACGAATGTCGAGACCCAGAGGGCCAAATGGTGCTCCAAAGCGAACTCGGAAAACGTGGGGACGCCCTGGCCTCGGGACGTCTGACTTCTTCGCCCTCCTGGCAACTCTATTCTTGGGCCCCCCCCACTTTACATACAAATTCCTGACGGGATCCGGCCCTGTTCCAGCCACCGCGTCTGACCTCCGCACCCTCCTGGCAGCTCTGTTCTTGAGCCTCTCCATCCTACACTTGCCAGACCGGATCCGGCCCTGTTCTAGCCACCAGGTCTGACCTCCGCACCCGCCTGGCAGCTCTGTTCTTGGGCCCCCCCACCTTGCAATTTTCCGATCGGATCTGACCGTGGCCTGGCCACCAGGTCTGACCTCCGCATCCTCTTGCAGCTCTGTTCTTGGGCCCCTCCACCCTACAATTTCCCGACCGGGTCCGACACTGTTCTAGCCACAGCGTCTGACTTCCGCACCCTCCTGGCAGCTCTGTTCTTGGGCTCCTCCACCCTGTAACTTTCCTGCCGAATCCGACCCTGTTCTAGGGCCCGCGGCGCCACGGGGGGCAATGGGGGATTGTGAGGGCTCCTCTTCCCTCAACAATTACTCAATATGAATACTTCTCTCCTCTTTCCCCTGATGACGTCCGGAAGATTTTTTTTTTGTTCCTCTCTCTCTCTCTCTGTTGTTTGTCCAAAATGTTGCTCCCGCTGAAGCGCTGGCCTCATTTTCGGGCTTCTGCTCGTTCCGAATCGTGCTCCCGCTGCAGCGCTGGCCTCATTTCTGCGCTTCCGCTCGTTTCGAATCGTGCTCCCGCTGCAGCGCTGGCATCATTATTTCCAGTGCCATGCCACGGCACACAACGCAATGCTGTGTGGTGCTCCGCTGGACGATGCCATGCTTTCAGCTGCAATGCTAGGGTATGCCCTGCTCGACATCCGACTGTGCGAATCGAGAGGAGTTCTCCGCCATGGTACTAGGCGGCGCGCCAAGGGGGGAAATGAGAAGGGCGGGCCTTCTAAGAAGGCTCGGAAGTCTTCGCAGCCTCCCAAGGATGGCGAGGTACCGTTTGGGTCTGCGTGGGAGCCCACTGTGTTGGCTCCCCCAGCAGCCCTCGAACATGTGGACAATTTTCCCCGTTTGCAGCCCACAGGAACGGCGAGGTCCCGATTGGATCTGCGTGGGCCTCCTTGTGCGGGCTCCCCAAGCAGTCCTCGAAAGTGGCGACGATTTCGCACTTCGCACCCCCCGGGGATGGCGAGGCCCTGTTTGGTCTGCGTGGGACCCAACAACCTGCCATCGCTCGGACGTCCATTTCCCGTGCATTTTTCGGTTTCGTGCGTGTTTTTTTGCGCGATGGTCGAGGATGGTCCTCGATGGTTCTCGCCGAAAAAAATGCACACGTCCGAACGATGCCAGGACAATGCTGCCCTCCCCCAGCAGCCCTCCCGAACCGCGACGATCTCACACTTCGCAGCCCCCCAAGGATGGCGAGGTCGCGTTTCGGTCTGCGCGGGGCCTCCCGTGTGCTGGCCCCCCCCCCCAGCAGCCCTCGGACATGGCGAGGTCCCGCTCGGGTCTGCGGGGCACCCCGCTCTGCCAACTCCCCCAGCGGCCCTCGAAAGTGGCGACAATTTCACGGTCCGCAGCCTCCCAGGGATGGCGAGGTCCCGCTCGGGTCTGCGGGGCACCCCGCTCTGCCAACTCCCCCAGCGGCCCTCGAAAGTGGCGACGATTTCACGGTCCGCAGCCTCCCAAGGATGGCGAGGTACCGTTTGGGTCTGCGGGGCACCCCGCTCTGCCAACTCCCCCAGCGGCCCTCGAAAGTGTCGACAATTTCACACTTCGCACCCTCCCAAATATGGTGAGTTCCCGTTTGGGTTTGCGTGGAACCCCCAGCGGCCCTCGAAAATGGCGACAATTTCGCACTTCGCAGCCCCCCGCAGGGATGGCGAGGGTTTGTGTGGGGCACAAGCCTTTGTAAATGAAGCAATTGTTGCGTCCCCGAGGCAACATACTCTGGTGTGTTATGCAATATTCGCGTCCCCGAGGCAACACATCCTCGTAACTTATACAATGTTCGCGTCCCTGCAGCCATATACCTTCGCAAAGTACACCATATTCGCATTGCCGAGGCCAAGAGTGCTCCAAGGTGCCCGAAAATGGTTCCAAGACGGCCCAAGAGGGCCCAAAGAGGCCCCAAGAACGCTCCAAGAGGCCTCGCGAGAGAGTTCCAAGAGTCCAAAATCGTAGATCGTACGGAGGTTTTTGAAGGATGTTGGCCTTCTCGCATTTTCGTTTTTCCGACGCTCCAAGAAGGCTCAAGAAGCTCTCAAGACCGCCCCAAGACAGCCCAAGACGCCTCCAAGAGGGCCCCAAGACGGCCCAAGAGGGCTCCAAGATGGTCCAAGAAGCGCCCAAGACGGCCCGGCCCCAAACCGCCCCCACGAAGCCCCCGAGAGGCTCCCCCCGACCCCCCGACACATATACAAGAGGCCTCAGACACACAACCCAGGCACGGTGGCGGGATGGGCCGACGGCCACTCGGACAACGCCAGCGTCTCAATATGCGCTGACGATTCCTATCCACCCCCGCATGAGGTTCCCAAATACGCCAAGGCAGCGCCGAGATGCACCGGCACGATTCTGATATATCCCATTCTGATAGAGAGGGAGCCGGCGGCAGGGGGCGAAGCCCTTACGGATGTATCAACAACCAACATAACAATCAGCATAACCGCCAGCGTGAAGAAACGGGGCCAACTTCTTGGAATCCAGTATCGGATTTTAAAGGATTTCGAGATCCAGCTTGACGGGAGGGAGTTTCTTAATAGAAGATGTAGTGTACACTGGCGATGGCAGTGATAATGACGCAGCCCGACGCGTCCCAGCCATGTGACACGCTCGTTCGGACGCAATCCGAAGTGACGACGACGGTGGTGTGTTGTTGATGGTGTATTTGTGATGCTGATGATGGCGGTGATGAGGTTGAAACGGTTGTAGAGATGGGGAAAACTGCTGGGCCAATCGGGACCGCTAATATCGCACAGTCACGGGATGCGCTGCGTGGAGAACAAGTGTGATCCGGCACGAGCTGCCCTGGATGAGGAGCATCAAGCAGCCACATGATACTCCTCCTCCTTCTCCTCCACTCCCTCCCCCTCCACTACTTCCTCCTCTCAGTTCCTCCTCCTCACGTACGGCCAAAGCACGTCATAATCAAGCATGATGTGTACTGGTGCAAAGAATCTACACCGCGCCAATCTTATGATGCTCTTGGACCGAGGAAGCAGAAAGCATTCAAAGGACGCTTCGAGTCGAGGGTCACGGGGGCCCCTTGCTTCGAAGGTTCATCCTTACGGCCAATCTTGATTGTATGCACGCCCTCCCCCTGTTTTTTCGACGCGCGGGCCCGTTGACCTCCCGACCCCTTCCCCAGCGCCAGCTTTCCAGCCTCCTCCGAGCGTCTTTTTCCTGGCGTCTTGCAGCGCCAGACGAGCCCACGTATCGAGGACAGCGCCCGGCGGCGGGGCCGCCATCAGCTGCATGCACAAACTTTCGTACCACCCTTTCCCTACCCCCCGCTTTCCCTGGAAGCCGGGTGTCGCAATTCTTCCACACCAAGCATTCTCGCTGGGTTTCTGGCCCCTGGGGCCCTCACGAGTCGATCCGGCCCAAGAAGTGCCGCAGAAAGATGGAGTCCAGTGCTCCTGTCCTCGTTTATCACGGTGTTGCATTTTCACTGTGACATCAGATGACGCCGCGCCGTTTGTTCTGAACGCGCCCAAATGGACGAAGCCGATACCATGGCAAACCCACGGCAAGACCTGTGCCTCGCGCCCAAGGAGACGACGCCGGCACCGCGCCAAACCCACGGCGAGCCCACCGCGTCCCAGGCGGCGTATGCCCTGGTGGTCGAGGCGCCCTCCCCAAGACGCAAGGCGTCGGAACAAACGGCGCGGTGACATGAATTCTGCGACGTCAGATCAGAGCTCGTCCGGCTCGACAGCCTGGGGAAGAAGATTCGGAGGCCGAGGGGCGCCGCGCCCTTTTGTGGCATATCCGCCCGTGCCTTGCAGACCCAGGCTGGATCGAGTCGCGAAAGAGGATCGGAAACAGATCGGATCGCGTCGGAATCCTCGCGCCGTCGGTAAGACGAAGCCAGGACAGGGATAACATCGGGTGAGGACAAGTCGAGAATCTCTAACATCCAGGGGCTCTGGAGGGTGTCCCAGGCGCCGCGGCCTTCTCAGAGCGTTCTGGAACGCTCTGAGAGTACTCCTGGAACGCTCTGGAACAGATTTATCCTCGTCCTGGCCCCGCCCGAGTCGGATCGGGATAGGGTCGTCTGGGATCGCGGATCGGGCGCGGCTTCTGCAATCGGGTGCTGCTAGACGTGTCCCTGGCCAAAGGTGCCCCCAGCTCTTCGCTCCACTTTGGAAACCCTGGGGCCCCCCTGGGCCTCGCGAGGGGTGCGCTGGAGGCCGTGAGTGCCTCCTTGGGAATCCTGAGGGCACCTTGGGCCAGGGGCACTTCTAGCAACACCCAATGCAGGCCGCAGAAAAAATAATTGGTTCGCGCGGGATCGGATCGGGATCGGAATCTAAGTTCGGGATCGAATCGGACTGGGAGCAGCGCTGCCTGGTTGGCAAAGAACACCTCGCCATCCGTCGACCTCTGCATGACCCACGGAACTGGTAGCGGCGTCACCCAGATGGCATCAGCCTAGGCAGAATGCCGCACCGCTCGTTGCCGTCGTCGTCCAAACTCGCCGAAGGGGGCTCGAAGATCGAGGACGAGGATTACAATCTTCGGACTGGAACTCTGGGCCCAGGCATCGGGGGTCGCCAAAGGTGCTCCTGGCCGAAAGGTGCCCCCCGACTTTCCTCTCCATTGTGGGGAGCCCGCCGGCCCCGAGGCCGTCTGGGCCTCGGCAGGGCGTGCCGTGGAGGCCGTGGGGGGCCCCTCGCGGAGCTCCCGGGGACGCCTCTGGGCCAGGGGCACCCCGGGCAACACCCGGAGGCGCCTGGCAACGCACGGCTTTCTCGCTGCGTGGGCCCCCCTCTGGACCTCTCGGCCGCAACTGCGAGCACCACGCGAAATCGTGAACCTCGAAGCAGATGGGCCTTGGACGCCCGAGCCCAGCTCAGGCTGCCCGGACAAACTTCCAACGACTGCAACTGCATGTCAACCACACGTGGGCATCGACCTAAAAAACAGCTGGCAACCACAGTGCCGATCCTGCAAAGGAAAAGTGTGGCTCACCACTGCATGTAAAGATCAAGCTTACGGGGGTTGGCTTACGGGCGCAGCCCGACAGTTGATTTTCGTGCACTGACCGACTGAACTGCGCTGGCTGAACCGCCCGAGCCGTTAGATGGCAGCTTTACCTCCGAATGCTGGGGATCTGTCGCTGGCACTTTTACGCCAGGGGGGTGAGAATATGTCGCTGGCAATTGTAGGCCAGTGGCTTCAGGACATTTCGCTGGCAGTTTTAGGCCAGGGGCTTGAGGATATTTCGCTGGCACTTTTGAGACACGGGCTTGATGATATTTCGCTGGAAGTTTTAGGAGAGGGGATATTTCGCTGGCAATTTTACCTCCGCTGGGTGAGGATATTTTGCTGGCAGTTTCACGCCAGGGGGATGCTGATATTTCGCTGGCAATTTCAGGCCATTGGCATCGGGTATTTCGCTGACAGTTTTAGGCCAGTGGGGTTAGGATATTTCGCTGGCAATTTTAGGCCAGGGGGCTTGAGATTTCGGTGGCAATTTTGGGCCAGTGGCTTCAGGATATTTCGCTGGCAGTTTTACCACCGGTGGGTGAGAATCTTTTGCTGGCAGTTTTAAGCCAGGGGGCTGAGGATCTTTCGCTGGCAGTTTTAGGCCAGGGGGCGAGGATATTTCGACGGCAGCTTAGGCCAGAAGGGTGAGGATATTTGGCTGGCAGTTTTAGGCCACGGGTGATGAGGACGTTTCGCTGGCAGTCTTAGGCCAGGGGGGTGAGGATATTTCGACGGCAGCTTAGGGCAGGGGGGTGAGGATATTTGGCTGGCATTTTTCCACCAGGGTGTGTGCGAGTATATTTCGCTGGCAGTTTTAGGCCACGGATGATGAGGATCTTTCGATGGCAGTTTTACGACATGGGGTGAGGATATTTCGCTGGCAGTTTCACGCCAGGGGGATGAGGATCTTTCGCTTGCAGTTTTAGGCCAGGGTGCTGAGGATACTTCGTTGGCAGTTTTACGCCAAAGGAGTGAGAATCTTTCGCTGGCAGTTTTAGGCCAGGGGGTGAGGACATTTCGCTGGCAGTTTTAAGCCAGGGGGCTGAGGATCTTTCGCTGGCGGTTTTATCTCCGCTGGGTGAAAATATTTCGAGGGAAGTGTTAGGCCAGAGGGGGTGAGGATGTTTGGCTGGCAGTCTTAGGCCAGGGAGATGAGGATGTTTCGCTGGCAGCTTTAGGCCACGGGGGTGAGGATATCTCGACGGAAGTGTTAGGCCATGGGGCTGAGGATATTTCGTGGGCAGTTTTACGCCAGGGGGGGGTGAGGATATTTCGCTGGCGGTTTTACGCTCTGGGGGTGAGGACATTTCGCTGGCAGCTTTAGACCAAGGGGGCGGGGATATTTCGCTGGCAGTTTTACGACAGGGGGGTGAGGATATTTCGCTGGCAGTTTCACGCCAGGGGGTTGAGGATGTTTCGCTGTCAGTTTTAGGCGGGGGGGGATGAGGATATTTCGCTGGCAGTTTATTTCCTGTGGCTGAGGATATTTCGCTGGGAGTTTTGCGCCGTGGGGGGTGAGGATAGATCGCTAGCAGTGTTATGCTAGGTGGCTGAGGATATTTCGCTGCCAGATTTTTATCTTTGGTGGGTGAGGATATCTATGCCAGGGGGGTGGGGATCTTTCGCTGGCAGTTTTAGACCAGGGGGAGAAGACATCTCGCTGGCAGTCTTAGCAAATGGGGGAGGGAGGGCGAGGGAGAGGGACGAAGATGACGGATGACTGGGAAGGGTGGAGGTGGTAAATGGACGGAGGAGGAGGCGGAGGGAGGACGAGGAGGGAGGACGGGAGTGGTCTTGCGCTCGGCGCTGGCACCCCTGCGCCGCGCGATGCAGCATTGGTTCCTCGCTTGAAAGGCCCAGGTAATGGCCACACATCCAGCGCTGTGCTGCGCCAATATATGCTCGCCCCTTGGCATGGGACTGGTCGGGGGCCAATGGGCGATCTGTCCGGTGATTCCCATTCCTTTTAATTGTTTGTTCGGCGGCCCCGAGGCCCGAAACGGGCCTCCAGAAACCAAACAATGGCGACAAGCCGGCCGCCTTGACTTTCGTCGAGGCGCCGGATGTCATGGGAGACCCTGGCAGCACTCCTCTGGAGATGGAAGCACACGCCCCTACCGATAGCGCCGAGACGCGTCTCTGCTGATGCATACAGAGACGACGCGCTGCCCTCAGATTCAGGCGTCGCAGAACAACTGCGGCGACAATCTCACCAATAGTGTTTCGCCAGAGGGTTCTCTAATAGAGGCTAAACAAAACCATTGAAGAGTCCAACAAAGGGCGGGGAGCCCGAGACTGCCCGGTCCGGCAGCCGTTTCGCCTGAGCCTTCCTCGCAATCTATTCAGGAATCGCGCTCTCGCTCCAATGCCGGCTATAGTTCTGGCCTCGACGGCCACGATGCCTGGTGAAAGACCCAGCGAGGTGCACCATGGCCGTGCTCTCGTCCCCGTCCCCGCTGCATCCTCTCTTTCCCCAGGCTCTCCGGCCGTGCGTATCCTGCTCCTGGACCCGCCTCTCCGCCTCTGCTGCTGCCAGGGTGCCTGGCTGGGGCAACTCGGCCGGCGGCCGCGGGCGCAGTCCGAAGCGGTCGGCTCACGCCGTCGGCGCACGCCGGCGCGCAGGGCCTGGCGCCAAGAGAGGACTGGGGGCGGAGGGGCGGCCGCAGGGCGGCGACGTCTCGAGGTCTGAGGTCTTCGGGCGGCCTCGTCGGTCCTCGGCGGCTCTCTCGCCTCGGGGTGCCGTCCAGCGGCTGCGCCTCGACGAGGGCGTTCTGGGGGAGGAGGCCGCCTCCGCACGCAGCCCTGGCAGTGCCACGCCGCTGGATTTCAGCACGCGTGAGCAGCAATGGGTACCGCGTCTGCATCCGCGGGCACGCCTCCTCCTGCACCACTTCCTCCTCCTCCTCCTCCTCCCCCTCCTCCTCCTCCTCCTCCTCCTCCTCCTCCTCCTCCTCACCGTCCTCTTCTTCCTCCACTTCTTCCTCCTCTTCCTCCACCTCCTCCTCCTCCTCCTCCTCCTCCTCAGCGCCCTCCTAGTGCCTCCGTTCTGGTCCAAGGCCGTGCGCCTGCTTTGAGGCCACGTATCCAAATTTTCGGCACGGTACGCTCTTCATCAGCGTGGCTGCTGGCTACCAGCAGATGAGGATACATATTCTTGCTGTTCCTTCGTTCCTGTGCCTGGATGGAGCAAATTCGCGGCTGGAGGATATTGCAGTCGAGGCCCCCACTGTCGACTTGCTGGGGACGAGGGCTGAGGCGCTTACTAGTGAGGAGTACCGCATTGGGAGTTTTCTGGGGAAGGTTGCAGTTGTTGCGCGAGGGAAAACTTCCAACTTCAGGAACAAGAGCGCAGACATCTTCATGCTGCCACACAGATGGTCACGATGTATTCGAAGTATTGGAACTTCACTATCTACCCTTCAAGGCCGCGGGATGTGACTTTCCACCCTTCAAGACCGCGGGATGGGACTTTCCAGGTTCCATGGCACATCAAAATTTGCGATGACGACTTTCTATCCGCTGAAGTCAGTGGCTAACAACTTGCCATTGAGATATCTCTATTGTTGTGACAAGATGAGTTGCTGGGCGTCGCGGACTACTGGTCAGGCACCTCACTCAGCGAAAGTGTTTTCTTTGAATGCTGAGAAAGATGGCATGGGTCCCACAACGATGGATTAACAGTGGCAGTACATGGGTGAGCAGTCTATTGGCCTGGTCGTAACACTGGAATGTCGTCGATGGGGAGCTGGGCTTTGGACGCGTGAGTTCATGGAGGAGCACTGGGCGTATTCGATGTACGCGCAGGATCGCATCGCCCACGTGTTCTACGACGCTCAGGGCAGCACCAACATGATTGATCAAGTCATTTTGCCCGTGGCGCTGGCCAAGCAAGTGAAGCACAAGGGCATCCTCTCTCGTCCTGGTAGTCGGCTTGAGTACATTCCTGCAGCTGAACATCGCGACCTCCGACCTGTGAATGTACGAGTGGGCATTGATACGGATGTCGAATGGAATGTTTCACTGGAGGGGTGGGCTCCCAATTGGGGATACGTATGATGAGGTGAAGCGGGGCATGGGCAAGCTAAAGAGGGCGCTGCAGGGTTCGAGCGAGTGCCACTTTTTCCTGGCGGCGGTTGGGCAGCGATCGGCGGGCTTCTTTCTTGCAGTGAGAACTGTAGTCGATGATGCACGTCTTAAGCTGCTGTATACCTTCAAGCGAGTGGAAGGTAAGAAGCTGTTCGACCGAGGTACACGTACACGAGAGGGGTGCAGCCAGCAAGTTCTGCGCCGACAGCGGGAAAGAGCTCCACGAGCGCAAGGCGGATGGGCGAGGAGGTGGACCTCCCGTTGCCAGGACCGCCGCTCGTCACCGTCTCTTCCATGACGATCAGGGTCACTATGAAGAGGGGTTACGCTTGCCATCCAAGTTATGTCAAAGGATTTCTTCGAGAAGTAATTGAAGGACAAGAGTCCTCCGCCCATGGCCTCGCTCGTTCTTCACTTCACGATCCGTGCTCAGAGGGCGATTGGCCCGAAGAAGATGGAGGACTTGGTCAAGTTGTAGATCGCGCTCTGGTTGAACCCCGAAGCTCAGGAGATCTTGGGAAGTCTGGAAGTGGTCTTGGCGGATTTCAAGGCGGTGCTGCTCATGGAATCTGCGCTGATGGGCCCGTTCGAGAGCCTGTTCTCGTGCCTTTGGGTCCGCATGAGGAGGTGAGGCCTTCGCCATGAGTGTTTTTTGAGAATTGATTTCGCGAAGGTGTGTGCCACAGCCTGCTGGCACTGTCTTTTCGTGTGGCACCCTGTGTAGAAATGGAGCGGGGGGAGTGTCGTTGTTGTCGTGATGGGGTGGGGGGGAGGAAGCATCGAGTCCTGACGTGCTGTTAGTGCCAGCGGGGTCGCCGCGGGGCTGCTCCCCGCCGAAGGCGTTCCTCGCGGCCTAGCGGTTACGTGGCCGCCGCAGGGCCACGTCTCGCGGGATCTGAGAGGTTGGCATGTGCGCCGCGCAGGGTCTGACAGACTCGCAGTTTGGATGTGTATCTTCGTACTGTTTCATTAAGACTCGTTTTCAATGTTGTGCAGTGTCGGTGTTGCTCAGTGTCGAGTTACTTATGGTTGCAGTAGCCCCAAGTGCTTTCGTATCGTATCGTATCCCCCCCTACTCCTCCTCCTCCTCCTCCTCCTCCTCCTCCTCCTGCCGCATGGCCTTCCTTCTACGCCTGTTCCTCCTCCTCCCCCTCCCCCCCCTGCCGCGTTGCTTTCCTCACCCTCCTCCTCCTCCTCCTCCTCCTCCTCCTCCTCCTCGTCCTCCTCGTCCCATCGCCTTCCCCCTCCTCCTCCTCCCCCTCCTCCTCCTCCTCTCCTCCTCCCCTCCTCCTCCTCCTCCTCCTCCTCCTCCTCCTCCTCTCCTCCTCCTCTCCTCTCTCCTCCTCCTCCTCCTCCTCCTCCTCCTCCTCCTCCTCCTCTTCCTCCTCTTGCTCCTCCTCCTCCTCCTCCTCCTCGGGCAGCTGGGCCGCGCGCGAGGAACTTGAGGATCGGCCGCTCGCCGGGCAGGGCGAGCACCTCCAGCCTCTCGGGGAAGGGGCGAGTGCCGCGGGGGGTGCACGTCCGCCCCCGGGGGCCTCCCCGATGGGGCCGCTCGCCGGAGCCGCCCCGCTGGGGGGGGGGCTCCTCGGAGACCCTCGGGGGACCGAGGAGCGTATCGCCTGGGAGGCTTCCCAGAGGTCTCCGTGGGAGGGAGGAGGGAGGGAGGGAGGGAGGGAGGGAGAGGGAGGGAGGGAGGAGGGAGGGAGGAGGAGGAGGAGGAGGAGGAGGAGGAGGAGGAGGAGGAGGAGGAGGAGGAGGAGGAGGGAGGTGGAGGAGGAGGAGGAGGAGGAGGAGGAGGAGGAGGATGAGGGGGGGGAAGCATGAGGATGGGGCAGGAGCCGGAGGAGGACGATGAGGAGTAGGATGGAGGGAGGACGGGGAGCAGGAAGAGAAACGAGAGGAGGAGGAGGAGGAGGAGGAGGAGGAGGAGGAGCAGGCGGAGGAGGAGGAGGCGGAGGAAGAGGACAGAGTAAGGAGGGGGGAAGGGAGGAAGAGGGGGGAGGAGGAGGCGGAGGCCATTCCAGAGACCTGTCGAATTCAAACTACTGGGGGAGCTCGGATGGGACGGCCACAGCTTTACGCAGCGGCAACCGCGGGTCGGGATCCGCGGGGGGCACAACTAATGCCGCCCTCGTTCTTAGCCTACGGTGGGTCCGTGTCTTGACGATCCCGGCGCTGGTTTCTGACACCGCGTGGATCGTTCTTCCTTGAAAGATCGGCGGCTTTTCGATTGCTGGATTGTTCCATATTGTCCGATTCTGGGCCGTGGCCGTGTTTATCGGGCGCCCTCAGAAGTATCGCCTTCGGCGTCCGTTGGAGGGCTCGTCCGCAATTCTTGCTGTGCACCTCTTGTGTATAAGATGTGGCCTATCTCGAGGTCCTCCGTGAGGACCACCTTGAAGATCAAGGTGGGAGCGAGGGCCACCCCTGGACCAGAGCCGAAGCCAAGGCCAGACACAGCCCACAGCCCCCGCCCCCCAAAACTGAGGACCGCGCCAAGCCCATCGCGCGCACCGAGTGCCTCTCGAGCCTGGTGGCCCACCTGCCGTGGAGGGCCACGTGCCCGACGGCCTCGCACGAGCCAGCGACGAACGCCACAAGCTCCCTGATGAAATCTGGGGGCGCTCTCTGGGCCCCTTCGCACCTGCGCGCTGTCGCCTCCTGCAGGAGGCGCGCGCGGTGATCGTCTGTCAGGTGGAGGAGCTGCCTTGCCAGAGGCTGCGACTCGATCCCTACCAGCTCGTCGCGACCAAGTCTCGCCGTCGCGCTGCTATCCGCAGGTGCTATCCACAGGAGCTCCCCCCCCCCGAGGGGGCTTCCTGGGGTCCTCGGATGCCGCCGGGTGTTCCCCGCTCGGGGCTTCCTACGATCGGGTGCTAGGGCCGCCAGCCTGGTCGCCGATTCTACTTAATGTTCCCCTCATGGGGGCTTCCTGGGATCGGCGACCTAGGGTTCGGGGCCCTCGGCTGCCGTCGCGCCGCCCGCGCTGCCAATGTATATATATATATATATATATGTATATATATATATACTAGAACCATCGCGCGCGCTTCGCGCGCGCTTAGTAGGTTCTAGCTGGTCGAGTGCTGACCGCATTGAGACAACAAGCGGGTCATGAATCACGAGGTCAGCATTCTCTGTTTCCTCCTGCCCTTTCCTCATTCCTCCTCCCCCGCTCTCATCGACCGGTGGACCGGTGATCTGTCGCCAGGCGATGGGCCAGGAAACATGCAGCGCTACAGCGCCATGTTGCACTATCTTGTGTAATGCCATGATACACCATGCTACGCTATAAAGCGCAATGTTGCTATGCAGTATGCAGTTCAATAACATGATCTATCCTACAGTGCGCATTGCATGCCATGCCATGCTGTGCTGTGAAATGCTGCGGTAATGTATGGAATGGACGCTGAACCATATCATGTTATGTTTCCTATGAAGAGCGATGCTGCCGCGTTACATGGTATGCACAGACACGGCATACTGTGCAATGCAATGCAATGCAATGCAATGCAATGCTATGCCATGTGATGGGCTGTCAGGCTAAAATAATCAGGACGGCAGTAAGAGCAACAACGGGGGTGTGATATTGACATGGCTTATGTTTACTGTTGCGCAGAGCAGTACGGTGCCGTTCGATTCATCTATGCGCATTGGAATGTCGTAGTACGCCACAATGTGTCATGATATGAAATGCCATGCTAGGCGATGTTACGTCGTGACGTGCAGTGCTAGGCTCAGCTAGACACTGCTATGGAATGCAATGTTATGGCATGCTGAACCATACTGTGATATTCACTGACACGGTTAGCTCTGTCGTGCTGTGCCGTGCTATGTCATGTCATGCAACGCTGCGATGCCACGATAGGCTAGGTGGTCCTTTGCTATGCACCGGTATGTTTCGGAGGTCTCTTGGGGGCCGTTTGGGGTGCTCTTGGGGCCTCTTTTGGGGCCTCTTTGGGGCCTCGTGGGGCATCTAGTGGGCGTCTGGGGGGCCTCTTGGGCTCTGTTGGGGGCCTCTTGAGGCCTCCTGGAGGCCTCTTGGGGCGGAAGGCTCGAATTGTCGGTTCGTGTTCCCCCTCTTGGGCCCCTCTTGGGGCCGTCTTGGGGCCTTCTTGGGCGATCTTGGGCGCCTCGTGGGCCGTCTTGGGGCGCTCTTGGGCAGTCTTGGGACTCTCTTGCGCCGTCGTGGCGCCCTCTTTGGGTCCCTCTTGGGCCATGTCGAGCTGATTTCTGGGGCCTCGTGGGCTGTCTTGGACCGTCGGCAGCACGAAACAGCGAGAACACGAAAACCTTCCAAAACCATTGAACACAAGCCCACTTTGTTCGCCACCTGAATGCCTCGTGGGAGTCCTTTTGAGAGCATCTTGGCCGTCTTGAAGCCCTCTTGGGCTGTCTTCAAGCCATGTTGGACCAATCCCACCAGCCCTTTGGGCGTGAGTGGTTTAGAGAGCCCGCTCTGTTCTCAACCCCCTTCTTCCCCTTCGGGGAGGGGTTTACCCCTCCCCCTCCCGCCTCCCCCTGGGCCTGGAGAGGGCGTCTCGCGGGTCGTTGGAGGGGTCTTTTTCGACTCCTGGGAGGGCTAAAATTCGACACCCCTCACGAGGATTCTGGCCCCGACGGGGGGGGGGGAGAAAAGTGCTCGCCCCATCTGTGATCGATCGCCCAACAGATGGCCCCAAGATTCCTCCCAGACCCCTCCCAAAGAGTCCCAAGAGGCCCCAAGAGGCCTCCAAGAGGCCCCCAAGATGCCCCCAAGAGGCGCCCAAGAGGCCCCAAGAGGCTCCCCCGAAGCACCCAAGACGCTCCTGGAAGCCCCTGGAGCCGCCAAGAGGCCCCCAAGACGCCCCAAACGGCCTCCAAGAGGCTCCCAAGAGGCCCGAAGAGGCTCCCCCAAGGCACCCAAGACGCTCCTAGAAGCCCCTGGGGCCGCCAAGAGGCCCCGAAGACGCCCCAAAAGGCCTCCAAGAGGCTCCCAAAACGACTCACACCACGACGAGGGCCCCGAACGACTCACACCACGAGGAGCCCGAACGAGTCACACCAGGAGGAGGGGCCCGAACGACTCACACGACGACGAGGGGCCCGAACAACTCACACCACGAGAAGCCCGAACGACTCACACCAGGACGAAGAGCCCGAACGACTCACATCACGAAGAGCCCGAACGATTCACACCAGGAAGAAGGGCCCGAACGACTCACACCAGGACAAGAAACCCCAAACGACTCAAACCACGAGGAGCGCTTTCTCTCCCTCCTCCTCCGCCTCGTCCTTCTCCCGCTCCCACCACAAGGAGGATGTACAAGGAGGCGGGAGGAAGGAGGAACAAGGGAGATATGCGGGGGCAGGCGGAAACACGCCTGAAAAACACGACTGTCGGCATGCTTCGCAAGAGTTGCTGTTTTGAGATGGGCTGGTGGGGATACGCGAAGCGTAAAGAATTTTGAAACGCTCTTGTGAGGTCTTGGGCTCTCTTGGAGCGCTCTTGGGCCATCTTGGCGCCCTCTTGGACGTCTCTCGGCCCCCTTTGACGTTTTTTGGCGCCCCCCGTTGGGCCCGAAACGGCCGAAGATAAATCAGTGCACTTTTGGGGGCCCGGGACACCCCTACCCATATTCTAATGTATATATGTATATATATATATGTATATACATAGATATTTATATACAAGACTGCATTGGCGCTTCGCGCCATGCACCTTGGTCCTTGAAGTTTGGCATGCAGGCGGCATGGCAAGACGGTCAAACATAGGAAATAACGATGACTCTTTGTTACCTTTTCCAGCATTGCTGTTTTAATGATGTGATTCGTTATCATTCCTCCATGCTTCTTTTTCCTCATTCTCGCCCTGCCCTGCGAATTCTTCCCCATCCTCCTCAGCTCTTTTTGCGGAAGCTCCTCCTTGGAGAATCTCTGGGGGCCTCGACGAAGTTTTTCAGTCTTTCTTAAAACCTTCTGTCGCCCTCCTGGGCGTCTGCTGGGGGCCTCTGGGGTCTTCCTCGGGCCGCCCTGCCTCCAACCGCGGTCTCCCTGAACGACTGGGTCACGATTTGGAATGCTTCGGAGAGTATCTTGGGGCCATCTTGGGCCGTCATGGGGCTCTCTCAAGCTATCTTGGAACCCTGTTGTGCAGTCTTGGGGCTCTCTTGGACTGCCTGGAAACCCTTTCGGGTGGTTTTGGGGCGATTTTCGAGCCTCCCAGGCAGTCTCGGGCGCCCAGAAGACCGAAGCACAGCACAGGGCACTCCTCAAATCATGCAAACAAGCTTGGGATATCAATATTTTTCTGAATTTTGGAAGCGTCTCGGGGGTCTTCTTTGGGTCGTCTTCTGGGTGTCTGGGGCCTCTTGTGGCCCTCGGGGGGGCGTTCGGCCGCCCTCCTGACCGCCTAGGCCCAGCGAGGGCTTCCAGGAGCTCTGAAACGGCTGGGGGGCCTCCCGAATGGGCGTCCAAAGGGTCCCCCGGGCCATGAAACTGGGGGGTCCAGAGGGCCCCGGGATTCGCGGGGTCCGGATTCGAGGGAGGGGTTCCAGGGTCATCACAAATATAAGTATGCATGTATGTATACAGACATGCATGCATACGTATATGTACAGGTGCATGTACATGTGCATGTGTGTATATATATATATATAGATGCATATGTATTTGTATAGGTAGCTGTATATGTATAGGCGTACGTCTATGTCTATGTCTGGGTATATGTACATGTAACTGCATTTGAACGTGTTTGCGCGTGAATATGTATATGTATATGCATGTATGTATGCAGATGTGTATGTATACATATACATATATAAGTATATGTATGCATGATTGCAGATGTGTGTGTGTGTATGTATATATATATATATATAGATACACACAAATACATATATATATATATATATACACGACTGCATTGGCGCTTCGCGCCATGCGCCTTGTTCCGGACGCTTCCCTGGCAAAACAATAAATCGTCGCTTGCTTCAGCAGGGAGGACCTCAAGGCCTGAACGGGCGACCCAGCCATTTTTCCTATATCCCTGGTGCCTGCTGACACCGCGTTCGGACGATGCGCTTGCACGCTTGTGCGCAGGAGTGGAGAAAGAACGCTGTTTTTTCTCACGCGAAGGTCCTATGAGGAAGTGAGGAGCGTTCTCATGACACGCCGAAGAAGTCACAGTAGCTCCGAACACATAGATTTTTGGTCGCTTCCTGAATGCCTGGAGGGCTCCACACACTCAGTCGTCGAATTTCGAATCTAGATCCATTGCCTATCTCTCTCGATCCTACTGAAGCCTCGAGCCTCAAGCGTGGAACCAAAATCGTCGGGTCAGCTTGATGTATTTCGTAGGAGAACGCCGTCTGGTCGTTTTTTGGGCTCGTTTGGGCCGTCCTGGGGCACTCTTGGGCCGTCCTGGGGGCTTCTTGGGCCGTCTTGGGGAGCTGGGGCCCTCCAGAGGTCTTCTGAAACCATCTAGGGCCATTTTGTGGGCCTCCGGTGGCCTTCTTGGAGGTATCGCATGGCTCTCGTGGGTCTCTCTTGGGGGCCTTCTGGGGGCATCTTGGGCTTCTTGTGGGCAGTCTCGGGGCCTATATATATATATATAATATATATATTATATATATATATATATATATATATTCCTCTTCTTATATTTTTATAGGCCCGGGCGGGGGGAAAACCCGTCCCCCCCCCCAAAAAAAAACTGGACTCCTGGGATCTGGGGCGTTGGGACCCTCCGGACGGGCCTCGAAGCGGCCCCCCTGGCCTCGCAGGGCGTTTTGCCAAGCCTTCCCAGCACACTTTGGGCGATCAGGGGGGTCATCGGAGACGTCTCAGAGACTCCATGACAGCGCAAGAGCGCTCCAAGAGTGACCGACGTGACCTCAAGATGGCCCAAGAGGCCTCCAGGACGGCCCCAAAGAGGCCTCCAAGAGCACTCCCAAGAGGCAAAAATCATAGATTTTACCTGGTAGTTTTTGGTGCATTTTGGGGTTCTCCTCTTTTTGGCTTCCCGACGCTCCAAGACGGCGGTCTTCTGGGCGTCCGAAGCCACCTGGGAGGCTCCAAAATCGCCCCACAAGCATCCGAAGGGCTTCCAGGCAGTCCAAAAGAGCCCCAAAACGGCACAACACGGCTCCAAGATGGCCCTCAGAAAGCCCCATGGCGGCCCAAGATGGCCCCAAGACACCCTCCGAAGCATTCCAAATCGTGACCCGGTCGTTCAGGGAGACCGTGGTTGGAGGCAGGGTGGCCCGAGGACGCCCCCAGAGGCCCCCAGAAAACGCCCAGGAGGCCTCCAGAAGGCCTTAAGAAAGCCTGAGACAATTTTTTTTAGGCCCCCAGAGGCTCTCCCAGGAGGAGCCTCCGCAAAAAAAACTGAGGAGGATAGGGAGAATGCGCAGGGCATGGCCAACATGAGGAAAACGAAGCATGGAGGAAGGATAACGAATATCATTATCATAGCGGCGATGCCGGAAAAGGCAACAAGGAGTTATCATCGCTAAATTGTCGCTTGATCTTCCTGTTATTCCGCCTGCAAACCAAACTTCAAGGACCAAGGTGCATGGCGCGAAGCGCCACTGCGGTCTTGTATATATATATATATATATATATATATATATATATATATTTGTATATATATATATAGATATACACCTCTTCCCATATTTTTATAAACCCGGGCGGGGGGAAAACCCGTCACCCCCCCCCTAAAACCGGACCCCTGGGATCTGTAGCTTTGGGACCCTCTGGACGGGCCTCAAAGCGGCCCCCTGGGCCTCGCAGGGCGTTTTGCCAAGCCTTCGCAGCACACCCATGTCGATCAGGGGGGTCACCGGAGACGTCCCAGAGACCCCCAAGACAGCCCAAGAGCGCTCCAAGAAGCCGTCATACCCCGAACAATCGCTCCAAAACGTACCAAGAGGCCTCCAAGAGCACCCCCAAGAAGGCCCCAAGAGGGACAAATCATTGATTCTATGTAGGTTTTTGGTGCATTTGGGGTTCTCCGCTTTTCGGCTTCCCGACGCTCCAAGACGGCGGTCTTCTGGGCGTCCGAAGCCGCCTGGGAGGCTCCCAAATCGGCCCAGAACCGTCCGAAAGGGCTTCCAGGCAGTCCAAGAGAGCCCCAAAACGGCACAATAGGGGTCCAAAATGGCCCTAAGAGAGCACCATGGCGGCCCAAGATGGCCCCAAGACACCCTCCGAAGCATTCCAAATCGTGACTGGGGCGTTCAGGGAGACCGCGGTTAGAGGCAGGTTGGTCTTAGGAAGCCCCAGAGGCCCCCAGAACACACCCAGGAGGCCTCCAGAAGGCGTTAAGAAAGCCTGAGAACTTTGGTGAGGCCCCCAGAGGCTCTCCAAGGAGGAGCCTCCGCAAAAAGAGCTGAGGAGGATGGGGAGAATGCGCAGGGTATGGCGAAAATGAAGAAACAGTAGCATGGAGGAAGGATAACGAAAAACATTATCATAGCGGCGATGCCGGAAAAGGCAACCAGATGTTATCGCTAAGTTGTCGGCTTGACCTTCCTGCTATTCCGCCTGCGTGCCAAACTCCAAGGATCAAGGTGCATGGCGCGAAGCGCCACTGCAGTCTTGTATGTATGTATGTATGTATGTATGTATGTATGTATGCATGCATGTATGTATGTATGTATGTGGGGAGCCACTTGCAGCGGATGGCTGGCTCTCTCTCCCTCCCTTCTGCAGCCTATACTGAACAAAACACACGCTCTGAACTCGCTCAATCATTTCTACAGCTGTACTTAGGCCCCACACCCAAGAGAGCCGCCTACTTAATTGTTGCTGTTGACCCTGACGTGCAGCCGCGGAGCGGTGACTATATTGGGAGCGGCCGCCACGTCAGGAAACCAACCTTTTCGAGAACTCTGCCTTGCCAAAGGTACGATCTCCAAGTGTCTGAATGCCTGCAGGTTCAAACTTCTTCGCACACAGCTGCTTGAATTATCGAGAGCCCCTCCGCAGCTCTCGAGTGCACAACTGCAACTGTCCAAAAAATCTCGCTGGTTGATGTGCCCATATCCGGGACAGCGGGCATTCTCAAAAGTCACTGGGCAAGAGTGAAGGGGGGGGCTGTCGTCGACGAAGCGGTCGGAGTCGGCGACGATGAAGAAGACCCCCCCCTCGGCCCCGTATGCGTCCAGCGCTCTTCTATGCCGATGGCCAGGTAGCGGAGCTGGCGTCCCAGCCATCGCAAAAACCAGGGCCACGTGGCAGAAGGCATGCCTGGGGCATCTTCGATGTCCGCGATTGACAGGCTCAGGTTGGGCGGCGCCATCGTGTCTTGCACGAGGGATTGTAGCGTCCGCCCTATCTCTGGAGCCTGAGGTCCGAAGTCGTAGCCCATCAGCGCCCAGGTCGGATTCGCCCAGCGGGGTCGGAAAGTCACGTTCGCCGCGCGCCAGGCTAGAGCCACGTGGCCCGTCCTCAACCAGCGGACCTGAATGCTAAGCGACTGGAAGTCGCCATTCGGGTGAAACTTCTGGTAGTCACTGTCCACCACGGGGCGCCCAGGCGCCACGACACGTATGGCCGTCACCAGCTCCTGGGTCCACTCGGCGGGGAGCTGCAGGATGTTGCTTCCCTTCTCGCTGAGCACGAGCGCCTCGATGTCCTCTCCCGAGTCGAGGAAGAGGCGCCCTGACTTGCAGGTGGCCGATACGTTCAACAGGTCGTAGCCGCGCCACGCCGTCTCGCCCAAGGAGAGGGAGCCATCCGTGATGGCCGCCACGAACTTGGCCGCCGAGTCGGTCACGTTGGCGCCCGACGCGAGCACCCCGCTGGCGGCTCCTCCCACGCCCTCCACAAGGTCGGTGGCCGCGCGCACCGCCCTCGTCGCCGTCGGAAAGAGGGCCGCGGGGAGGACCGCCAGGACGGCGAGCAGCATCATCAGGTGCCTCGAAGACGCCGCGCGTGCGGCGGCTAGGCCACCCAGCCAGTTCGCCCAGCCGCGGCGGCGTGGCGGTGCCCTAGGCACGGCCACGCTCCCTCGCGGCACGGTGGCGGGCTGCTCCACTGGCGCGGCCAGCTGCACGGACGCGACCCCCCCGGCCGCGGCCCCAGGCGGCGCCGCGGCGGCTGGCGGCGTCTCCGCCCGCCAGGAGGCCCCACAGGGCAGCTGCGGGACGGGCGCCTGGGCCGCTGGCAGCGCTCCACCAGGGTCAGGAAGCGGCGACGGCAGCGTCGGCACGGGAGATGAAACCATGGACCAGGAGGCTGGCGATGATCGTGAGCCCCTCGAACTGGCCCCTGGTGACGCAGTCCTCCCCGGCAGGATCCACTGCCCGTTCGCCGACTTCCTGGAACCCTTAGGCGCCATGCACTGAAAGGGCCTGGAGGATATACCAGGCCCAATGGTGGCTCGCCCAGGACAAAGCGGTCTCGAAGCCCTGAAGGCGGAGAGTCGTGCTGATCTGAGCCGCCGTGACTACATCGATGTAAATTCTCAAACTTGAGTCCATTCGCCAACGGCCCGTTTCTCGTATAACTTCAAAGGGAACTCCCAAAGCAGACGCTTCTGATGCATAGCCGGCCCTCGGACTGTGTGGGGTCCACCTTGTGTCGAGCCCGTACCCCTTCTGGATCTCCATGAGCTCCCTCCGATAGACCTCCATGGGGTACGGGAAAAGGCGTTGGCCAGCAGGCGTAATCGAGCGGAGGTGACGAAGGATGCGAAAGAAGACGGCATCTTTTGGCAAGCGGAGCGCCACAGCCTGGGCCCGCTTGGCCTTGGTACCGGTCTTGAGGCCGAGCCCGATCACGAGGGCCCCCTCACTCTGATGGTAGCCGCCGTCCTCTGGGAAAGTCAGGTCGTCCACCGTGAGCCCCAGCATCTCGGACGGCCGCAGGCCCACGTGGGCCTGGAGCGCGACGCCTGCGCCCAGGCGCGGCCGTCCTCGGCTGGCGATCTGTACTGCCATCCACCTGCTCGGTCTCGACGTCATGGGGACGGTGTGCCTGACAGGGTTCAGGATCGTCCATCCTCTGATGGCGGCGTGCGCGCAGGCCAGCTTGCCCTTCAGCCTCGGGAAACGGAACTCCAGCGCGCTGACGGTGGTGATGAACTGCGCCCTCGTCAGCTCCTCGCGTAGGCTATGTTTGAATTCAATCAGCGTGTCGTCCCACTCGTCCGGTGTCCACGGAGACGCGTGGTGCAGCTGGCACCACGACACCAGGCGGGCGGCTGCAAGTTTATAGTGGTCCAGCGTCTTCGCGGTGACCCTGCCCTCCAGGTGGGGGTCGACTGCGGCTGCTGGCGGCCCCTCGGGCCTGGCACTTGTCATAGTTGGACCCCGCGGGGCGGTGCTGCCAAAGTGGCCTTGGCCGCGGGGGTCCTGGGCTCCTTCGAGAAAGCGTCGAAACATGGTCTCGATCGTGAGAGCTGATCGGCGGGCTGCCTCTCCGTGTCCACCCACGGTAGGTGCTGCCGTATGTCTGTGATGGCCGAGAGCGCCGCTCGCTTCCGTAGTACGTAGTTGAGGCCTCCAGAGGTCGACCTCCCCTTGGCGAACGCCCAAGCAGTTACCATGTTGTCTTCCATATTCATCACTTTGGTGCGGTGGGCGTGGCTCGCCCAGGCTAGCCTTTCCAGCGGCGCTAGTGCGGCTCGAGCCTCGCCCAGGGTGATGTGGTCGGCAAACCTCCACCTCCCGGCCAGCAGCTCGGTCCACTCGATGTCTGAGCTCAGCGCCTCGGCGGGGATCGCACTCACAGGAGTGAAAGCCTTCAAGGTGCGGACGCCGCGCTTGACCACCTTCTCGATCTGGCCGTTGCGCAGCAGCGCCTTCCCTGGTCTGAGGCCCGCCTCCCACATGGCCTCCTGGACCTCCGCGGGAAGCAGGGCGCCGACCACTCCGAAGCCGCCCGCGTCCACCGCGTTGTCGCCCTCCGCGTCCGTCGCGAGGGTGACGGGGTAGAAGGGCGCGCCCAAGTCGGCGTAGAGGCCCATCACCCCCCTCATCATGGCCACTGCCTCCCGTCGAGCCGAGCTCCACCACCGGCGTCGTCTCGGGCCCTCGAGTGCGGCGAAGGCGAAGATGTGCTGGGGGGCGGCCAGCCAGTGTCTGGCCACGAGCGCCGCCCAGATCCAGACGCCGATGACGGACCTCAGGCTGTCTAGGTTCACCACGTGCTGGCGGGTGAGGTGCTCCAGGGCGCGGTAGAGCAGGAGGGCCTTCGCGGCAGGGACCCGCACCCTCGCCGGTCTCTCCTCCAGCTCGTAACCGATGATCTTGGTCATCTCGCCCCTCCTCCGACGGTCCTTGACCAGGAAACCGATCCTCTCCAGCGCCTCGGCGGACTTGTGGAGGGCCACGTCGCACTCCAACTCCGACTCGGGCCGCTCCTTCAGCTGGGACATGAACAGGCAGTCGTCGATGTGCAAGTAGATGCCGACGTCCGCCTCTCGCAGGATCGCGTTCCTGCCCCTCGCCGAAACCTCGTTCAACACCAGTAGGCCTTTGGAGTTGGCTCCAGCTGTCCGTCTCGAGTAGTCTCCTATGCGTCGGACCGCGATGTCTGCTCTCAAATGCCCCGTAGGGCCGCTCCCTTCTGCCAGCATCCTCTTGAAGTTCATCACAAAGAGGCCGGCAATCGCACAGCAGAGCCTGTCGGGGTAGGCGGCCAGGCGGGCCGAAACAAACTTCCCGTTTTGCTTCCCAACGCTCACTTCGTGGCGGTGGTCTCCTCGACAGCGGCGGCCGTCGAGCATCTCCAGGTGGTATAAGTTGCCGGCGAGACACGTGGGCTTCCGGGTGGGGCTGCCGTAGGTGCACTGGTCGAAGACTGCTCTCGTAGCCCCCGTTCTCTCCTCCAGCGCTCGCTCCAAGTCCGTCGCCCACACCGACGGGAAAGGATCCTCCCCTGGGTCCTCGGGATGCTCCATGAGCCAGAGTCCTCCGCGAAGCGCCACGGCCTCGCAGAAGGACAGGAAGTTCAGCATGGCCACGTTGCCCTCGTCCAGGCGCTGCTTCTCGTAGGCGGTCAACGTGTGGGCTGGGACTCCCCAAGCCCACATCCCTCGCCGCCTGAGGGGGCGCGGCCCTCGTCCGCCCGCCATGTCGACGAAGCGGGCGCGGCTCCACGTGGCACAGGGTGGGCCTCCGACCACCGCGTCCACCAAACCCTCCTCGATCAGCGTCATGAGGAGGTCGAAGGTGTCCTGCTTGGTCAGGTCCCAGCGCGAGTCGAACCCGAGGTCGCACGACAGCACGAGGATCTCCAGGTCCTCGTCCCTGCCCAGCTCGGTCAGGTGCTCCTCCAGGTCGCCTGCGCGCCGTGGGCCCGAGAAGAGGTGTAGCACCACGAACACGCGTCGGCGAGACGCCTTCGCCGCCCGCACTGCGCTGCACCACTCCTGCACTCCGTAACCGACGGACGGGGCGGTCGCCTGGCGCCGCAGGGCCTGGCGCGCCACCCAGTCCTCGTCCTCGCCGCCAGCGCAGAGCTGGCACTCCTCGGTTGAGTCGAAAGCCTCGGTCTTCCCGATGTTCAAGTGGTGATGCAACGTCATACCCACGACCCTCATGTTGATATTCATCAGCACGTGCACCGAGTGGGAGTTGCCCATGACCAAGCGGGTCCACATCGGGTAGATCCACTCCTGCGGCATCACCTCCAGCTGCTGCTTGACGTCCAGGAGGTCCCACACGTCCGCCGCCAGCACGGGGGGAGCGGCCTGCCATGGCCACATCCAGCTCGGCACCTCCACGTAGGAGAAAGCGTTGGACTCGTCCAGCGCGGCCCCCGCGATCGCATCGCCACCAGCGTGCAACCGCAGGAGGGCTCCTCCCCCGTGAAGGCCGTGCTCCTCGCGCTCCTGCACCTCCCTCGTCATGTAGTTGAAGGCGCAGGTCATCAGGATCTTGCGTTGACGATCTCCCGAGCGTTTCGGCACAACCGTGAGCCCTGCCACGGCTCGTATCTCGTTCTCCTTTGCGAACTTCCACATTCCCTTCACCAGGTCGGGTCTGTTCAGGTATTCCACGTACTCGTCGTACTCGCCCCCCAGGAAGCCGTACTTGGTTTCCAGCTCCTTGAAGATCACCTGGCTCCGCGTCTCCGGGTCGGCCATGACGTTGCTCTCCAGCTCGTAGAAGGCCGCCTCCTCGGGGTCGAGGGCCTCCAGCATCCTGACCTTCCTGTCCGACGCGGGCTCGTCCACGGCCCAGGCCTTCAGCGTCACGTGGGGCGTGACCCTCCTGCTCTGGCCGTACTCTTCCTCCGCTGCGGGCCCCGCCAATGCGAGCAGAGCCTGGGCGCCAGTCGGATCGAAATCCCGGCGCGCCTGACACATGCGCTTCGCCTCGCGCAAAGCTAGGCGATGCGAGCGCTCGATCGCCGCCCAAGTCTTCATCGTCAGAGGTCCAACAAAAGGGCGGCGTGTGAGTTCTCGACAGTCCCCTCCGTACATCGAGTTCACCCCGCGGAGGAACTGGTTGGCCCACTCCCAAACTCGAAGCTTGGAGCGGTACCTGTGGCGGAGACGGCTCGACATAGTCCCTGCCCCCCCTGGAGGTCGGGGACGCGGGATCAACCTGATGGGCAAGAACTTCTCGGAGATCTGCATGACCTCCATCAACTCCTTGAACGCCTCCTTGCCCGGGTGCGTGGTCGGCACCCACACCTGCTGTTCGTCTCGGCGCGAGCGGGGCGCAGGCCCTCCCCGCCGCGCATCGGAGGCTAGTCAAGCCCCCTGGGGGGCACCGCCCCCCTTGCCCTTCTTCTCCCTCTTGCCGTCCTTGTCTTTGCCCTTGTCGGCCTTGCGCCTCGAGCGGAGTTCCGCCTCGGCGCGCTCCCGTCGTTGGTGTTCCAGCTTGCTGTGGCTGGAGGCCGACTGCACGAGCCAGGTCGGAGCGATGTCGGTCTGCCCTCCAGGCGGGGCCACTCCCAGCATGTGAGCGGCACCCGCTTTGTCGCCGCTCCGCACCTCGTAGACGAAGGAAGCCAGCCTCCGGAGGGACAGCTCGAGCATATCGTCCGTGCCGAGGGTCCGCATCAGCTCCTCGTCGCTCTGGCAGGTTCTGAGCTTGAAATCGATCGCCGTCGCCATCGTCCACAGGTCGGTCCACGTGCCACTCGTGCGAGACCCTGTGTAGCGAACACTCAGCCAGTCCCGAGCTCCACTGCTGCCCTCGGCGCGCATGGCGCGGTAGATCTCTGGCGCCGCCCTCTGCATGTCCGGGGGCAACGCCGCACCCCAGCGCATGTCGCAGCTGCCACCGCCCGACGCGGCCAGGCCGCCGGCAGGCGTGGCGAAGCCGCCCGAGCCTCCCAGGGGCACAGCCGCTGTGCTCATGGCCTCCAGCGCGGCCAGCAGCTCGCCCAGGCGAGGCGCTCCTGCCGTCTCGCGGCCCAGGTAGCCGTACCCCTTGAGGGTCACCAGCACGGCGCCGGGGAGAGCCCCCGCTGCCTCCAGGTCGGCCACCGCCGCCCAGAAGCGCTGAGCCCACAGGGGATCGCTCCTCGCCCCGGCGGCGAACCCGCTCAGCAGCGTCTTCACCTGTGCCGCTGCCGTCTTGGTCGCACCACCGTCCGTCAGCGGGGCATGCATCTGAGGTGGTCCGCATCCTGCGTCCGCCCCTCCGTGGGCGGGAGCCGCGCCGCACCAGGCCGCCAGGTCGCCCAGCGCTGCTGAGCCTGCGGGAGCGGCCGTGGTGCCTGCGCCTCCGCCAGCAGCCGAGGGCCCCAGCGGCGGGATCCCGTGCGGCCAGCCTCCCGCGAGCGGAGCTGCGAGGCCAGGCGGGACTGCCCCGCCCGCGTCCGCCACGGCAGCCTCTGAGGCCACCGCGTCGCCTCCGTCGCCGTCGGCAGGCAGCCGAGCCCTCAGCGCCTCCAACTCCTCGCGCATGCGCCGCACCTCGTCGCTCACCTCGCCGCTGCTGCCTCCGCCGAGCATCGTCCAGGGGCAGATGGCCCCAAGCCACCACCCCAGCGTGCCGAAGGCCAGCAAGGACATGGCGGCCCACTCCAGCCGCGCCCGGCCTGTCTCGGCCCTCCAGGCACTCACGCCGCTGAGGACGCCGAGGACCACCAGGCCCAGCCGAGCTCTCCATCGCCAGCCAGCTCGGGCGCCCTCTGGGGCGGAAGGAGGAGGGCCCGCCATCGTGCTCTCTTTCAGCACGCCATCTCACTAGAGCCACTTGCAGCGGATGGCTGGCTCTCTCTCCCTCCCTTCTGCAGCCTATACTGAACAAAACACACGCTCTGAACTCGCTCAATCATATATATGTATATATATGATATATATATATATATATATATATATATATATATATATATATATATATATATATATTCCTTTTCGAATATGCTCAGAAAGACCCCCCCCGTATATAAATTCGGCCCTGGGCGCTCCCGCCGACGTGGAGCGGGAATTTCCGGCTTGGGGAGCCCCTCGGGGCCACCCTGCGCCGCTCGGGCGGACCCGCGATCGCTTCCTGGACGGTCCCGCGGAGGCCCGAGACGGCCCGAGACCGTTCCAGAGCAGCTCATGGGCGCTCAGAGAGGGCCCCAAATCACTTCAAGTCGGGTCAAGAAGCCCCCAAGACGCCGCAAGAGGCCCCCCCAGGGGGATCCCCAAGATGCATAAATAATCTCATCTCCAGAAACAAAACTTATACTTTCTGCTTGGTCTTCAAAGCGTCCAAGACGGCCTAGCCGGGCCCCAAGATCGCCCAAATGCGGCCCAAGAAGTCCCGAAGAAGGCCCCAAGACAGCCCCAAAGAGCACATGCAAGTGGCTCCCGAAAGGGCTAACCCAGGCCCCAGGACGGCCCACGCCCCCCAGGACGTCCCAAGAAGGTCCCGGAGCGGGCCACGAGGGCCGCCAGACGTCCCCAAAGAGCCCCAAACAAAGCCCCGCGAAGGCCACACTCATTGATCTCTGCAGGGTTGTACCTTATATGCCTTGGTTATTCCTGTAGTGCCACGTTCATACCTTCGGCCCTGGGACCCCTTATGAGCCTTCTGAGCCGAATGAGCGCAACGGGTCCTATAGGCCCTCCAAGCACGATGCGCCCTTTGATCCCTCTGATCCCTATGACCCCTACGAGGCATAGGAACCCTATGAGCCCCCGTGAGCCCTATGAGCCCTATGACCCCCATGGATCCCGTGAGGCCTACGAGCCCTATGCGCCCTATGAGCCCTACGAGCTTTATGGGCCCTGCGCACCCCATAACCCCTATGGGCCCTACGAGCCCGATGAGCCCCCCTGTCAGCCCTCTGAGCCCTATGAGCCCGATGGGCCCTACGAGCCGGATGAAGCCTATGAGACCTGTGAGCCCTATGAGCCCTATAAGCCTCATGAGTCCCATGAGCCCTACGAGCCCTCTGAGCCACGTGACCCCTCCGAGCCCGATGGACCCTATGAGCCCTCTGAGCCCGATGGTTTTGATGAGCCCTATGCACCCCATGAGCCCTATGAGCCCTACGAGCCTTATGAGCCCCTCTGGGCCCTCTGAGCCCTAGGAGCCTTATGAACTCTATGACCCATGCGAACTCTACGATCCCTATGAGCCCTATGAGACCTATGAGCCTCCTGAGCCCTATGAGACCTATGAGCCCCTCTGCGCCCTCTGAGCCCTCATGGGCCCCATGAGCCTCACGAGCCCCATGAACCCTCATGAGCACCATGAGCCTTACGCTCTGTGAGCCCTATGTGCCCTATGAGCCATATGGACCCTATGAGCTCTGTGAGCCCTATGATTGTTACGAGCCCTATGCACGCCATGAGCCCCATGAGCCCTACGAGCCCTGTGCGCCCCTCTGAGCCCTCTGAGCCCTACGCGCCCTATGAGCCGCGTAAACCCTATGAGCCCTACGAGCCCTATGAGCAATATGAGCCCTATGACTCTCATGAGCCCCATGAGCCCTACGAGCGCTATGTGCCCTATGAGCACGATGAACTCAATGCGTCCCATCAGTCGTATGAACCCTATGAGCCCTATGACACTTATGGGCCTCATGAACCCCATGAGCCCTATGAACACTATGCCGACTATGCCCTGTGAGCCCATGAACCCTCTGAGCCCCATGAGCTCCGTGAGCCCTATGCACCCTATGACCCCTTGGGCTCCATGAGCCCCATGACGCCTAGAAGCCCTCTGAGCCCGATAAGCCCCGGGAACCCTATGAGCCCTAGGAGCCTGATGAATCCGATGAGCCTCATGAGCCCTATGAGCCCTCACGAGTCCCATGACACCCATGCGCTCTATGAGCCCTACGAGCCATATGAAGCCTGCGAGCCCTATGAGCACTACGAACCCTATGAGCCCTATGATTTTAATGAGCCCTAACAGGCCTACCTGATTACCCTCAAATGAGACTCGCGGGACCGATGAGACCCATCGGCCCTATCAGCCCCACGGGACCCACGAGCCCTGCGCATTGCGAGCTTCTGAGCCAATTCAGTCTGACGAGCCCTCTGTGCCCAATGACCCGCACGCCCCCGAGGCTCTCAGGTGCCATCTGGGAAGGCTCGTGGGGCTCTCTCGGAGGATTCTCCCAGGCCGTGGGGCTCTCTAGGAGACTTCTCCAAGGCTCAAGAGAGGCCGAAGAAGAGCTCCACAAGCGCTGCAAGAAAACTTCAACATTACTGCATGATCATGCAGTGCTCTTCGGCCGCTCTTGGGGCCTTCTGGAGCTCTCTTGGGCCTGCTTGGGGCTCTCTCGGGGCCTTCGCCGAGCCCCAGGCACCTCAGGAGTAGCCTGGGAGCGGCCCCACAAAGCCCCAGGGGGGCTTCAATAATTAGGGATCCCGCGCCCGGCATTTTCAGCAGCTGTCAAAACGCCTGGTGCGAGGGCCACATGGAATCGCTCTTGGTGCCTTCTTGGACACCGTCCGCATGCGCTTCCCCCGCCCAGTACAGCTTTTCGTGGCCCCATAGGGAGCTCCACCGAAAGCCCCAGGGGCACGTTCCGCATGCGTGCCCCCCATCCAGTACAGCGTTTCGTGGCCCCCTCCACCGAATGCCCCAGTGGAACCGGCCGCATGCATCACCCTGAACCGTGGTGGGCCAGAACCGACGGCACGAAACGCTAAACCAAAGCTCCCGACCCTATTGCGCCAAGCATCTCACAGTAGAAGGAGGGAGGAGGATGGTAAAGTTTCGGGTCACGCAAAAGACAGCCGCACCAGTCAGTCCCAGCTGACCTCGACAGGCCTCCCGGGTAGTCCCAGCTGGCCTCAACAGGCCCCTCGAGTAGTCCAGGGCGGTCTCAACACTCCAACCCTGTGGCGCGGAGCGCCTCCCTGGGGCGGCGCCGGAGGCGGCGTTGAGGTGTTGAGACCGTCCCGGACTATTCGGGGGGCCTGTTGAGGCCAGCCGGGACTACTCGGGAGGCCTGTTGAGACCAGCTGGGACGACTTGGAGGGCTGTCTGCGCGCAAACCCAAGCTTTACCAGAGGAGGAGGAGGAGGAGGAGGAGGAGGAGGAGGAGGGGGAGGAGGAGGAGGAGGAGGAGGAGGAGGAGGAGGAGGAGGAGGAACGCTACGATCATTGCCATCGAAGTCCGATCACTGTCGTGAGGGGGGAAGGACAACGAGGACAACGTCGACGACAAGGACAACTAGGACAACGAGGACAATGTCGACGACGAGGACAACGTCGACGAGGACAACGAGGACAAACAAAAATGACAGCGAGGGCAGCGTCGACGACGACGACGCCGTCCCCGCCGGGCGGCCTCTCGACCAGCCTCTGGCGGTCCTCGGAGCTCCACTCCCGCGTGACGTGCTCGCCCTGTGCCCAGAGCCCCGAGAGTTCTAACGACGACGGCGACGACGCCGACGACGACAGAAACGATAGAGGATCAACGTTTTCGGGCGCTTTTGGCATTTTGTGTGTCCGCTGGGGGCGTCCTCGTCGTCGCGGCCCGGTGCGCCTCGATATTTCTGGCGCCCCAGGAAGAGGTGCTGAATAAATATCAGCCAGCCTTGACTCCAAATAGATAGGAGGACAGGAGGAGGAAGACGAGAGGAGGATGGGAGGAGGACGAAAGGAGGACGGGAGCAGGACGGGAGGAGCAAAATCAAGCAAGCGCAAGCAAGCAAGCAAGCGCCAGCGAGCAAGCGCAAGAGAGCAATAACAAGCAAGCAAGAACCAGCGATCAAGCGCAAGTAAACAAGGGCAAGCAATAGCAAGAAAGCGCGAGCAAGCACGCAAGAGCAAGCAAGCAAGTGCCATTGGAAAGGGGGGGGTGCCATTGGAAAAAGGGGGGGTCCTAAAGACCAATTACTTATGATGAGCTAGGACTCCTATGGGGCAAGCCTATCTGGAGAAAATGATTCCCTCGTTCTCCTGCTCCCCGTCCCCTTTCTCATTCCCCCTGCTCCTCTTCCTCCTCTTGAACCATACTCTTCGAGTGCCGGCAGGAGGATTTGTAGCAATGGGGGCGGCTGCGATGGAGGTCATTGGGCCCACGATACCTTCCTTGAGGGTGGCGGTTCGCGGCCTCGCTCGAGCACGTGCGGGTCCACGCCATGATTGGTGACATCCGTCGTCCCGAGGGCGGAGTGGGGCAATGCCGCGCCGTGCCGTGATGCCATGCCGTCACGTAGTGCTGTGGTGCCGTGCCGTCACGCGCGGGGAGTGGCGGTACCGCGCCGTGCCGTGGTGTCGTGCCGTCACGCAATGCCGCTGGTGCCGTGCCGTCACACAGTGCCGTCGCGCCGTGCCGTTGTGCCGTGCCGTTGCGTGCAGGTTGGTTGTGCGCTGGCCTGCGGGCCGCCTGGTTGGGGCGGGGTACAAAGACCAGCCGGGCACCCGGTCCAGGGTGGTGGCCGAGCTCCGCTTGGCAGCCGACGGGGTCGGTTCCCCGCCCGCCTGCCCTGGGGTGGGGATGTTGGGGTTGTGAGCTGGCTGGGCGGTGTCTTCGGGAGGCTCTCGTCCCCACAGGGCCCGCCCAGCAGCGCCGTACACGCAGGTGCCATCAGAGGGCGCGCAGCCACGCCTCAGAGCCACGGGGGGCCAATCCTCCGCCTCCTCCTCTTCCTCCTCCTCCTCCTCCTCCTCCTCCTCCTCCTCCTCTTCCTCCGTGTATGCTCGGATGCCCCTCCCCACCCCCATTTTCCTTTTCCTGTCTGTTTCTCTGACCTGGGCCTCACTCTCCCTTCCCTCAGTGGGTTGCGCACCTCCTCCTGCTTCCTCTCTCATCCTCCCCCGCCTCTCGAACCTCTCTCTCCCCTCCCCCCTCCTCTTCCCCTCTCTCTGCCCCTCTCCCTCCCGCTTCCCTTCCCCTCCTGCTCCTCCTGCTCTTTCCTCCTCCTCCTCCTCCTCCTCCTCCTCCAAGAACATTTCTGATCAATACCTCCTCCCTGTCGCACCCCCAGGTGTTTTGATAGGGCGGGCCGAGCGTTTCGCTTGATATGTCCTCGCCATTTATGATCCGGAAGCTGGAAATTTGAACCAGCTTCTTGGATGTAGGGCGCGTCCTTTTCAGCATATGGCTCTCGCCTCAGCGCCGCCTGCATTTGTCTTAAACGATTGCAAGCGCTTCAAGAACGGAGGGTGGGTGGTTTTCAAACTGCTGCTCTTCCCTGAACACCGCGCGGGTCCGTCTCAACAAATGATCTAGGGCGGATCCTTTTCAGAGTGTGGCTCTCGCCTCTCGCCTTTAGCGACGTGCACACTTGTTTCGAACATGTGCAACAGTTTTGCGGATGGAGGATGGTGCCTTTTCAAAAGGTGGTTCTCGCCTTAGCGCAGCGAGCACTCGTCGCAAACGTTTGCAGCAGTATCACGAATTCGTGTGGTTGAGGCCCAGGAACGGTGCCCTGGCGCGATCTAGGATAGTCAAGACGCAATATTCGCATTCATTCGCGGCATTGAAGTCTCAGGAACGGTGTTCTGGCACGGTTTAGCATTACCAGAACGCAGCGGTCACGTTGATCCGCGGCGTTGAAGTCCCAAGAAGCGTGATTTTGTACGATAGCAGACTCTCATACGGTTGTCTTCTAATAAGCTACTTCCCGGAATGAGCATTAACTCCTGTAGGGACCCATGAAGAGGGAACCTGGAGGGAGGGTTTATTGCAACATCGTTGATACGCCTTGGGTTTGCACTGGTCCTCCTCCACATCCCTCTCTCATCCTCCCCCTCCTCCTCCCCCTCTCCCTCCCACTTCCCCTCCTGGTCCTCCTGGTCCTTCTGATCCTGCTCCTGCTCCTCGCCCTCGTTCCCTCCTGCTCCTGCTCCTGCTCCTCGTCCTCGTCCTCGTCGTCGTCGTCGTCCTCCTCCTCCTCCTCCTCCTCCATCTCCTCCTGCGACGGCGACGACTCAACTTAATGTTTCACCTTGACCGGACCTCACGAGCACACGTGCAAGCTGCTATGTGCCCCCCCTGCAACCAAGAAATCGGTCTCTCGGGGGGCATCTTTTACTTCCCCCGTCTTTCGGCGCGCTACCCCCTGCTGCGTCAGGCTCTGGAGGCTTCGTGACGGGCTAGCTGACTGAAAGCCTACCGCAATCGCGGCCCCGACTTTCACCGGCTTCCGCCGACCTTCCGCCCGTGGAGCCACCGTCGTCTTACCTAGGTGGGCCTCGTCGGGCCTCCCGTCCGCCGCTCGTGGAGGGCGAGGAGTCAGCTCCCCGATTTCTCGGAGGCGATGCCCCTTAACTGCGAGCCCCCTGTGTTGGTCTTGTGCGTGCCAGCGTGGACCCTGAAAAGCGGGTCCTTGTTCTCTCGATGTGCCATCTTTGTGGTGCAATCTGTGCATGTTGCAACATGTGTGTTGCAGACGATGTGTTGCAATCTGTGCGATGCAGCGTCTGCGGTACAATACAGGTGGTGCAATGTACGCTGTACAATCAATGCATTGCTGGCCATGTTGTGCCAGCTACGCGGTGCATGCAATCTATGTGGTTGCAAGCTGTGTCTGTGGTTGTGTCGATGTGTGTACAGGAGGTGTGGTGCAAGCTATGTGCTGAATGCTGTGTTGTGCAGTGTACAGTGCAAACTTTTTGGTACGGTCGGTGCAAGATCTGTCCCGCAAGCCGACCGTTGACTGAGGCCCGCCCGTTGAACAAGGCTCGAGATCCGCCCGAGCCGACCAGTCCGCCCGTCCATTAAGGGCCTGCCCATCTGCCCGCGCCCAAGCCCCCCCCATCCTTATCCGAAACTGTGTGTGGGGCTACCACGCAGATCTCCCAACTTTGCGCTCCGCGCGGTCATCTTCGCGCGCGCTCTCGCACAGCCACTCGAGAAGGGCAGCCCTCTGGCTCAGGCCACGGATCGCGATTACACCATCTTTGCGCCCCTGCGGGTCAGCTGGGCACGCGGGGGGGCTTTCGACGTGCCGTTGCGGCTGGCTGGCGGAGGATGGCAAACGCGAGGACCTGGACTTGGCGTGAAGGTCTTGCGCGGGAGCGGCGCTGGGCTGGGCGGCACAGGCGCGTGATTGTGTTAAGTGTGGCACCTCCTCTCGCCAGCATCTGGTCCTCCTCCTTTTTTTCCTCCTTCTCCTGCACCGCCTCCATCTGCTGCTGCTGCTGCTGCTCCTCCTCCTCCTCTTCTGGCCCCTTCTCTTCCTCCTGCTCCTCCTGCTCCTGAAATTCACTTTCTGCATCGCGTTTAACGCTGGAACTCTTGGCCTCTCTTGCGGGGCTCTCGAAGCCGCTGTCGGCACCATCGCCCAGACACTTCTTGCAGCATCCTCCTGCTGGGCCATTGCTTTACTGGCACCTTGTCCTCCAGTCCTGTCTTGAAGGTAGACGGCTAGGACGCAACTCCTTTTTTCCCCTCAAGGCGTCAGCAGAAGCTTGATGTGTTGGCCAGGCTTGGCAGCGTACTGAGCGAGAGACAGCAATGCAAACAGAGGGCGTGCAACGCGACGCTATCGATCCCACGGCTAGCGGATGCTCAACCATGGCAGAAGCGACCGCGCCACCAGAAAACATAGAGCAGCTGGTGCATCGTTGCCAGCCCGCGGGAGTTCTCACCGCAACGCTGGTACTTTTCCGGCTCCTGCCGAAGAGACCCTCGGCCAAATACGTGGCTAAAAACAAACATGCGACGAGGGTGTAAATCGTGGAACACGATCATATTGAACAATCGAGCGTGGCTTTCAACCGAAGTGCGCGTGCTGTCACGCCAGCGGGCGGAGCACGTGCGGTCACATGACACGTTCGCGTCGTGATGACTTGAACATGGGTTTCTGGCACCGCGTGCATCGTGGCGCCTTAAGAGATGGCGGCATTCCGATAACAGATCGTCCGGCTCCAGCCCCCTGGCGGAGTCTGACGTTGAGCGCCCGCGCTGGAGCTGCCGCCGCGTCACCGCGGCGCAAACCTGCCGCAAGGGAAAGGGGAGCGCGGCTCTTCGAAATTCAAGCCGCAAGGGAAAGGGAGCGTAGTTCTTCGAAAAGGAAGCCGCAAGGGAAAGGGAGCGTAAATAGCTCTTCGGAAGTAAAAGCGCAACGCGTCATCTGTGTATCAGGAGCTGGGGATGAGATCGAAGTGAGGCGGAAACCCTCCGACAGGAAGTCGCTCTCGGCTTCGTGCCTGTGCCGTGCGTGCGGTCACGGCGACGCTTTGCGCGCGCGTGCGCGCAGAGGAGTGACCTCGCCGCTGCTGCTGGGGCGGCGGCGGAGCACAGGGCTCTGCCCCCGCCCGATTTGGGGAATGGGCCCGCGGAGGTTGTCCCGCAGCTGTCCAGGTGGTGGTCCCCTTGGTTGTCCCCACGAGTGTTCCGACGTGGTCCCGATGGCTGCACCGTGGTTGTCCCGACGGTTGTCCCGATGGTG